TTAGAGCTTTCATGAATGTCTCATCATAGGTTTCCTCACAATAAATATAATTTAAACTGAAATTATTTATAAAATTATTGAAATGGTCTATATATAAATATAAATATATATAAGCTTTTAAAATAAAAACATATTATATAATCTTCCTACTGTCTTTTACCTACTATAATCTTTTTATGTTATATTATATGTTTTAAATGGATTTATAAATGCATTGAAAGCATAATCAAATTATTCACTTTAGTTAGCATGATCAAATTATAACATCAGGATATCCACCAGCCAAATGCATCTTCACCTGAGTTATTCTTCCACCATTATCAATGTAGTCATAATAAATACATTATCAATGATGATGATTCTCATTTATTTTTCAAGCATGTACCCATGCATCATCATGTGGCTATTTCTTTAGTATTATGATCATTCAAAATTTAAATCAAATAAGAATAAAGTATAAAGATATTGAATTGACCAAATATCGATCAAAAATCACTAATCGTTGGATTAAATAATTTTATTAAAATATAACTAATCCAATTTTATCATCATAAATATGTTAAATATAAAAAAAAATATTAAATAAATAATTTTGATTCTCAAAGTATAATAATATCATCATTAGATACATTAATCACATGATTAATATGATTAATTATTCACTAATTACTTCTTTTTCAACACTATAAATGTGTCAAACACCTGTATTAAAGATATTGAATTGACCTAAAATCGATCAAATTTTAATTAAATCATCGTTAAAATAACTAATTATAGTATTAAATAATTTTAATAAAACATAACTAATCCTATTTTACTATCATAAATATGTGAAATACATAAAAGAAGCATTAAATACATAATTTTGATCCAATATGGATCGATAAAATCATCATTAGATACACTAATCATTTTATTAATATAGTTAATTATCCACTAATTACTTCTCTTTCAATACTATAAATATGTCAAATACCCTAATAAGTATTAAAGACATTAAATTGACCTAAAATCAATCAAATTTTAATTAAATCATCATTAAAATAATTAATTATAACATTAAATAACTTTAATAAAACTTACTTAATTAAACCTATTTTACCATTATAAATATGTGAAACATATAAAAGAAACATTAAATATGTAATTTTGATCTTATATAGTTTAAATTACGATGAAATCATACACTAATTACATTATTAACATAATTAATTGTGCATCAATTACTTCTCTTTCAATACTATTAACACCAAGTATTAAAGATATTGAATTGATATAAAATCGATCAAATTTTGATTAAATCATCATTAAAATAACTAATCGTAGTATTCAATAACTTTAATAAAACCTAATTAAACATATTTTACAATCATAAATATCTTTCAATATTTAATATGTAAGAAATATAAATATTTGACCTATTACATGTCTAATTTCGAATTAATCAATATTAAACATACTAATCATAATATTAAATATTTAATTTACTCTCCAATTAAAGAAACAGAATACATACCTCTTGATTAGAAAGTTCTTCCTCATAATCTTCCCAAATTAGCCTTGATTCAATTCATAAATCATTATTTTATAGAGTTTAGAAGAGCGCAAACGTGAGAAATAGGAATTTGAGATAGTTTAAGAGTTAGAGTGAAATGAAGTGAAATAAGGGAGAAGAAGAGTTTAAAAACTCATGAGAATTGACCGTTGGAGTATTGTTACCGATTAGTAATGGCTGATTTTGACTATTATCGAGCAATAACGATCGAAATTTCGATCATTACCGTGTGATATAGTCATGTATCGTCCTATACGGGACAATGTTAAGCGTTCTACGTAGTAGCGGACAGTCCACATACCGATATGTTGTCGGTCTGGTACATACTGCTTATATACATATATTTTATTCGAAACCGTAAACCTCAATTTTTCATCTTATAAAATATACATATTTTTTTATTAAAGAAAGTGATTTATTTCTCTCTAGTTCACTTTAGTAATACTCTCATGGAGCTTTCATGAATGTCTCATCATAGGTTTCCTCACAATAAATATAATTTAAACTAAAATTATTTGTAAAATCTCTTGAAAATGGTCTATATATAAATATATATATATATATATAAGCTTTTAAAATAAAACACATATTATATTATCATCTTATTGTCTTTTACCTATTGAAATATATTTAATTTTGGAGTTTACTGTAATATTTTTGTGGTATATTATATGTTTTAAATGGATTTATAAATGCATTGAACACATTTAAATGTCTAGTAGGTTAAAAGGTGCAATAAATGAATCCTTTGTCAAACACAAAGCAATCCAAATCAAGTGCTTTTTTTTGTTTTTTTGTTTTTCTGTTTTTGAGAAAATAATAAAAATATTCATTGGTTTTAGAATCAAAGTATTAACTCTCCTGTAAGCATTTGGAAAGGCCAAGGCTATTTAACCCCCCTAATGGTTCTTTTTTTTTATCCAAATGCTGAGATGCGTTGATTTTTTGGGCACTCTTTTGGAAATAATCTAAGTAGGGATCCCGAGCCTCATACAAAATGGAGGTATTTATTCATGTAAAGATTTAGAATTAGATAATTAACCAATGGATAGATCATAGAAGTACTACACTCAACTTTTTTCTCCCAGAAAATGACAAAAAAATCATAATAAAGTATCTTGGTTCGTTTGTGATCTTACTAATAGAATTCTGTCCATTAGATTGAATACTTGAACAATTTCATTTATTGTAGCTCTCACAATTTAAATTATAGTTACCTATAGGAACATTTTGCAATGATCTACAGTATAATTTCGAACTATTATCTTTTCATTTACACTTGATATTCAATGCCTTGTGTAGACAATTTAATCCATAACTTATCCCCTTGTGTAGTTAATTTCATCGTCGTAGAAAAACAAAAAGCATGAGTGACATGATAATTTGAAATGGTAAGTGATTCACTAATGATGTTTTTTCATAGATCCATCCTACAACAACTTAATGTTAGTCTAGCAGAATTACACAAATGCAAAGTTCCATTTCTATGTTTTCTTGGTATGTTATAATTTAAGACTACTCTCACCACCTTTCATCTGATGACTTTGTTAATTAAAGCAATAATATGTATAGGATTTCGTACACTGTGGTCTATGGTTAGCTGCATTGGTTGTTTGGTGGACCTATTAATGAGATGTTATTACGATCTTTAACAGGCCAGATGATGCAGTGCTGGATTTTTGAGTTGGTAACAACCGTCTCCCAATTACATTGGAAGCTAGCTGCACTAGGTTAATATTCTTCTCTGTTCATGAGTTCTTATCACATGTAGTAGGACTGGAATATTAATTCATAGAGATGTGAAGACTGCACTAGCAAGCTTGTTTGCTTAGGTAGATGAAACATTTCTTCAGATCATCAGTGTTTCTAGATTGCATTTGCAGCCAGAATAGATTTGAATGCAGATGTCAAGTTCTATGATCATTTACAGTGAGGTTTCAGTAGTACACTTTTTTAATCTTCTTGTCAGTTTTATCACTGTTTTGCTGACGAATCTTCCTGGTCTCAGCAGCAGTAGTCATCTCCCCCCAGGGATCTGCTTGCATCTGTAGCCACCGAGGAACGAGTCGTTGGATCCAACCTCACATGTAGACCAGTCGATGAAGCTGTTCATGTTGACAGTGATTGACGACGACGCTGCCGACGGGGGCACAACTCATCCGCAGCTAGCTCGTCGTCGTCGAGAGCGGCACTCCATGGATGGCCTGAAGAGGCATCGAGAAGACGGTGCTGGGTCAGGGACAGTGAATGGAGTTTGCCTGCTTCTTCTTCTGCTTCTTCTTCTTCTTCTTCTTCTTCTTCTTCTTCTTCTTCTTCTGAACAGGAGAAGGCATCAAACCATGAGGTTGCAGGAGAAGAGGAGTAGGAGGAGAACCTGCTTTGTGGGGCAAAGCGATCCAGTTGCCGCCGGTGATGAGCTTGTCGATGTAGGTCCGGAGGGGCGGCGTCTTCCTCGGGCGACCACGGGTCTCGTTTCACCCTGGCCTTGTCGCACCACGGAGCTCTCCCCCGTCTTTCTCCCTTCTCTTCCTCTTCCTCGTGATGCAGTCAACACAAGGGGAAGAAGAGCAGGCGACTGGGGGCGACTTCCCTCGCCCTCGTAAAGCTGGCGGCGAGGACGACCTCAACTCCCTGCATGCCACTCACTCTGTACACATAATAATAATAATAATAATAATTATTATTATTATTATTATTATTATTATTATTCTATTATATATATATATATATATATATATAAATGTTAATCCCAATTTAATAGGAAGAAAACTAAAAAAAATCATTATCTATAGCGGAATATGCATAACAATAACAACATATCATGATGGCCAACTATTTTGATCAGTCATAGATCTTTTATCATCATTGAACTCTATATAAAATAATATAATATAAATTATAATATATATATATATATATATATATACATAAATACATGTATGTATGTACAACTCTCGATAAATGAGCGATTCGAAAATTAATAGGGAAAATACGTGCAAGATATTGTTTCAGGTTACTTCTTCTCTTTTTGTAGGGAGGCATCCAAATAAGAGTTTCCGGTTACTTATTACAGGGTTAAATAAGAGATTCCAAATTCTTTGAGGGGTATAAGTGAAAAGGTTGTTTTCAAAACTACTTCCCCCTGTTGGAGTTCTTTTCGTGCTTCCAGACAGGCTTAAATACGATATTACAGACTCTCTAGGGGTGTAATTGTAAAAGGTTATCTCAGTTCTGCTTACCCATTAAATTCACTATACAGTATTTAATAAGAAATTCCTTATCTTGTAGGGGTATAAGTACAAAAATACTGTGTCCAGTTGCTTTCTAGTTTACCCATCAATAATAATTCTGTCCAGTATACAGGATTTAATAAGTAATTCCATATCTTATAGGGATATAAGTACAAAAATACTGTGTCTAATTACTTTCCTCACTAACCCTATTCTCTCTCTCTCTCTCTCTCTCTGAATCCTTCTCCATTGCTTCAGATCCGGGCTGAGATCAAGCAGATCTGCGTGAGAGAGGCGATCGACAGGGGAAGCGGAGGAAGAATCGAAGATGAGCGTGATCGACATCCTCACTCGGGTCGACGCGATCTGCAAGAAGTACGAGAAGTACGACGTTGACAAGCTTAACGCCGACAACGTCTCCGGCGATGACGCCTTCGCCCGCCTCTACGCCTCCGTCGAGGCCGACATCGAATCCTCCCTCCAGGTCTCGTTTCTTGACTCTGTTCGATTTCCTTCTGTCGGGGTTCGACGGTTTGGCTGATCCGATCTGGCGATCTGGTGTAGAAAGCGGAGATGGCGTCTCAGGAGAAGAACCGGGCAGCGACGGTGGCTTTGAATGCTGAGATCCGGCGCACCAAGGCACGGTTGTTGGAGGAGGTCCCTAAGCTGCAGAGATTGGCCCTCAAGAAGGTCCGATGCCTTCGATGTCGTTTTGTCATTTTTATGTTTTCTGATGTTTTATTGCATTTTTAATTTATTTCTACAGCTCTGAGTTTGTGACTTCTTGCATTCGATTTCAAATCTAAGCAAAAAAATTTGGTTGTTTTTGGCCCTTATTCAAAATGGAAATCAAGTAGGGAAAGGATCCTGCAGTTGAAATAAGAGCATAGAGAATTAACTGAGAGTGGAGTGGTTAGTCTGGCACGTATGTTGTGATTGTCTTTCTCACTTGGATAAAGGAGGGAGAATTTTGTAAGGCTTTTATGATACCATACCTTCTATATGTCTGAAAATGCTAGGAAATTATAATAAGAAAGTCAGAATAAAAAAGATCTTAGCTGAATGAGAATATTGAGAAGTTTGAATAGTTAAGTATTATGAATGTTGGAATACACAAGAATCTAACTTGTGATAAGTTGGAACCATAGAAGGATATTGCATTGGTAATGAATTAAGCCGATTCAATTATTCAACTTAGAAATACTATGTAAGCTAGAGGAAGACCAAAGAAGACAGCCATGAATGAGGGAAACTATGATGATTTTCGGTTAGTTGATGGATGGATACTGGAGGTTAGTGATAGAAAAGTGTTTGTGTGACAACCTCAAAGGTCTCAGAGTGAAGTCTTGTCGGTGCAGGAGAAAAACCCTGGATTCTTTTCAAGAACTGGATGATCGAATATGATTAGAAAAAGTAGTTGTTTTTGCATGTCAAGTATTAATGTCCTTGTGGAACCTGTCTGTTTGAATTAGATCTTTGTCAGAGCTTTGCAGTCAACCAATGACAGTATGAGTGCTATAAATTTTTAAATTAATTTTTATTTCTTTTTTCCTTGGAAACATAAAAAATGTATAGGGTCACTGCTGATTGCATTATATATATTATATAAAGTTATAGGTTATAGCTTTTACTAGAAATTCTTCAGAAATAAAAGTCATGTGTTCTAGTTTCATGCCATCATGAAAGGAAATTTTCATTATTAATGGTTCTTGTACCAAGTTTGAAAATAGCATTTAAGGCTCTCTTGTTGTAAGTTTCCTTTGATTTAAACACCTTATTAGTCATGTCTTATGTTTCAAGTTTTATTCTTAATTCATTTTCATTGGCTCCCTTGAGTTTTAGGTACTTGCCTAGACTATTAATTGAAAATGTACAGTGGCGAAGATCTGAAAACAGCATGTTTTAGTGCTCCTGTATTCCTAAAGACTTTCTCGTAATATTTTCAATATTTTGTTTCAAATTTGGAAGGCCAAAATCTTTGTTATCTTTCTGATCTTCTCTAACTCTTTCTCTGACTAGACAAATGAACAAGAGATACTTTTTTTTTCTGTTGTGGAGATATCTTGGTTCCAGAAAAATATTTCTCAATCAGGTTGTGTATTAATTCTTTAATTATTTAGGTCCAAGGGATTTAACTCTCTTTGGTGATATTTTAGCTGGATCTTTTCTTTTTTTGTATGAGTTTAAAACTACTAGATTTAGTCTAATGTTGATTAAACAAATGTTTTACTAAAAACTATCAGCTACACTTTTTTAGTTGTATGATACTGTTGGATCAGATGCATGAGGATATATCTGCTGCTATTACATTGCATGTAAGAAGTTCATGTGCTTGCAAGGTGGTAATTTCTTATGGCCATTGAAGTTGTATACTAATAGTAAATTGTTTTCTTCTTGATAATATACTTTAATTGCTGATATTAGTTGTTGGATCGATTGTTTCTGTAGTTAGCTACTTTCAAGTTCCAACAGCATTGCACCTTCATTATGGATGTTACTGTTTTAAAAAGTTCTTAATAGTCATGTCTTCTTGTTATCTGTCTTGATAATGGGACCATCATGAAACATGTAGAATGGAAAGATCAGCTAAAGCAAGTGCACTATCTTGATGATGCATTTAGTGCTTCTGATGGAGTTCTATTATAGGTAAAAGGGCTCTCGAAGGAAGAACTTGCTACAAGAAACGATTTGGTACTTGCATTGCCAGACAGGATTCAGTCGATTCCAGATGGCAGTACAAATGGAGCAAAACAAATAGGAAGCTGGAAAGCTTCAGCTTCTCGCACGGAAATTAGATTTGATTCAACTTCAGGTTATCTAATTTTAATTGATGTTGAGTGCATTCTATTGATTGTTTATGAAATTTGATATACGGTTAATGATATTTTTCTTAATCCGTTAAACCAAGTTTATTGGATGTCTGTTACATTCCAATTCGACAAAAGACCATATGGTAGTGCAATCAATGAATTTTTCTCCATACGGCTGGCTATACAATAATTATAGATTTTGAAGTGGTGGTTTATGTACAATATAATTTTCTTAGTAAAGTGTATTGAGGTGCCATGACAAGTGGTCTATGGTCTAGGATCTCCTCTATAGAGTAAGGCGAGGTTGCTAGATGTAGATTGATATTGCTATTTCTAGCAAATGGGCGAAATAGTGTTCCTCTTATTACAATTAAATAAGGAACAGCGACAATCATGTATGGATGTGATATAAAATTTTAGCAATTATTTTGTTATATTAATGGATGTTGCGTATTTGAGGGATCAGAGGGAGAACAATGGTGTTGCATTCATTTTCATTTGGTTGTCAATTAATGAGTGAATCATCTAATTTAAACATGTCAGATATTTTTTATGCAAGCAGGATTGACTGATGCAAATTATACAAGCAGAGTTGAAAGATGGAGAGTAAAATAACTTAACTATTAAGGGAGAATGTGCACTACAGGAATCATGCCTTTGAACTAGACAGTTCTTCAGACATGAGTATCTAGAATTTAATTGTGACTTACACTTGGATTGTACCAGAGTTTGCAGTGATTAAATTCTCCTATTTTTTATAATAAGCCTGGTATATTGGTAGTAATTATTATTTGTTATTTACAACTTTGAAATATACTTGACAAGACATTAATGTTTTCTGATGTCGGCTAATTTCCCATTCTTTATTTTTTCGGACCTCATATAGGTCTTCCTCTACAGGTTGTTAGTTGCTTCGAAAATCTGCTTCAACTGCATTTGCATTCTAGTAATTCTATCAAGCTTGTAGTTAACGTATGCTACAAATAGAGTTCTTGAATTTGTTTGGTTAGTGCCTCATACATTTTCTGTTTTATAAATTTGAATGATCCAATAGAACATCTAACCAGACGATGTTAACCCTTTCAGAGTTTGACACCTTGGAGAGCTTAGAGTCTCTAAAATATATCCCCTCTATTGATCTAGAAGTACTCTTATACTTTCATGTGCAGAATATTCATTCATGCATATTAGTTGTATACTCATCGATATGAATGAATTTATGTAAGTTTGATATTTTGACATCATAACTTGGAGTAAATAACTAGACAAGGGGGAAATAGAAAAAGATGCAAAGGAAATGGCAATTTCTAAGGTACAAAACCGACCAATTATGCTTGTATATGCATGCTATATGCTTTTGGAAAAGATCATGCCAGAATATTGTCGGACTGATATCTTACCTTTCATTATGGCATGATTTGTTTTGATATACCGACAGGAATAAAAAGCTCTGTCAGTATTGGGGTATTGTTGTTACACCAGTGTACTGTTACATTATCAAACTGTTATTGTATAGTTGATGCATCACACAATATGTGAAACCTGCTTTTCTTAATCTCTTCTCTTCTTTTATGTTTCATAAATTATTCCTGTATTAAGGTTTTTCATTTTATTTTTCTTGGAAGATTGATCTTTTCCTGGAATAAATTTGATTGTGCAGATGGAAGATTCGAGAGTGAGTACTTTCAGCATACTGAAGAATCAAGCCAATTTAGGCAGGAGTATGAGATGCGCAAAATGAAACAGGTAGTTTTGTTTTTCCGTGTTTTTCTTTCTGAACTTCAATGACATTCAAGACATCATATCCGTCGTCTTTAGATGTTCATCGGTTAACACAAACAGGTACTTTTGTTTTTCCCATGATAAGCAGTAATATTTTTATGGCCCATTTGTGGCATCTATTGGTTAATTTACAATACTCTCTATGAACATCTTCCTGAAATTTCTGCTTTTTTGCATTCAACTGACCAAATTGTCTGCAGGGATGGAAGTTGTCATGGGAACAAAATAATCTAGTATATTTTGTCATGGGAACAAAATAATCTGCATTCAACTGACCAATCCATATGTTCTTTAGTGGTTGTTCTGCACAGCCAGTAATTGCTTTTGAAAGATTTTGCTAACGAGGAAATATTTTGCAGGATCAAGGCTTAGATATAATATCTGAAGGTCTGGATACCCTAAAGAATATGGCCCATGACATGAATGAAGTAGGATGTTTATTTTGCATTATGGAATTACATTATGAAAATGAAAACTACTCTAATTTCCTTGTGTCGTACAGGAACTGGACAGGCAAGTTCCTCTTATGGATGAAATTGACACTAAGGTCAGATACTTTGCTTCCGCTAGACTTTTCTATTTAGAAGCGAGATAAAATTTGGGTTTATATATATATATATATATATATATATATATATATATATATATATATATATATATATATATATATATATATTTATTTATTTATTTATATATAGTGAAGCATCATTTCAATGTGCAGGTCGACAAGGCTACCTCAGACCTGAAAAATACTAATGTCAGACTCAAGGATACTGTCAATCAGGTAGCTTTAATAATTTCACTTCAAGGCAATAATGTTGGATATATTGTAGCAACACGTATTTCCCAACAACTTACAATTTCATCTCTAATTAGTTCCCTGGTTATATTTTTTCAGCTAAGATCCAGTCGCAATTTTTGCATTGACATAATATTATTGTGCATCATCCTTGGCATCGCAGCTTATCTGTACAAGTAAGCTTCGCTGCTGACTTTAGATTACCGCATAATGAAATTTATTCGTGATATTAGACTCAGTTTCATTATCTCCAATTGTGTTTTTCAATTCTGATCTCATGTCATCCTTCAATATGAATTGCATAATTCTTTAGTGGAACGAATTACACAAATCCTGAGATTAATCATTTGTGCAAAGCAGAGTTTTATGGAACTCTCTTCAAATATTAATAGCCTTTTTTTCTTTTCGTGCCGCCGTGTGGGGGAGTAACAGTTATTCCCATTTTCACTTGATGCAGTGTTTTAAAGAAATGAGACGGTGGTAAAGGAAACGGGTATCTCCTGTTTGTTGTCCAGCTTGTGTTTTCAAATGCTAGTGTGGGTGTGTATTATTACTGTTTGTTGCCTCATTTTATTTATACTTTGCTCGACTTTTACTGTATATTCGCTTTCAGCAGAGACTCTTCTTGTTTGTTGTTGGCACACTATGGACGAGACACATGATTCATGGCTTCTCTCTCTCTCTCTCTCCTTCCTTGGATGGTTCTCTATCGAAAGCATCAATGCACGAAGGAGCTTGTAAAGGTAGCAACAGCCATTAAGACAAAGAGGAGCATTATTATATTCTGAAACACCCACCACCAATCAGCTGAGCTTATATCCAAATTCTAGTCAATTAAGGCCACAAGTAAATATTTTTCGTAAACAATGCGCAAACACACCTGAAAAATGATCCCTTCACAACTCGAGTCAGCCTTTTATCCTAAACAGAGACAGGAAAAGAAGTTGCATTTTGGAATCCCTACGGTTTAGTTACATGAACCAGCAGCATTTAGTATTTACGATAACGGATGTAAATAATAGCTGGCATTTTTACGATATAATTTTCAAAAGAAAAACCAACGGGACCGAATAAATACCGTTAAAGAACAAACAACGAAGCTTTTTTTCTGAATGCAATGTTTCATTTAAAGCACAACCTGTCAGTGGAACAAAACGTATAAATATAACTTGATTGAACGTGCAAAAAATATCACTATGCCACATTCAGTATAAACAAGCCAACAAGAATGGACTTTGGATTAATTCCCTCAAACAATATAGATTACTAAAAATAGTTCAGCATATAGTCGTTACTAGCATATCAAAACTTCACATCACCCCTTGTGTTCCTAGGCCACATTCAGAACCCTCCCAGAGGGAGTGAGTATGGCAGCTCAACCATACCATTCCTTACCTCTTTGCCTTTGCCAACATAAAAAGAAGAAGAAGAAGAAGAAGAAAAGATAAAAAAGCATCATGGTCACCGCATTTTGTAGTGTTGGGTTCTAGAAACTTGACAGTGCTGTCCGTTTAATGAGTACTTGAGCATTATGTCCACATCACGTGGATTCCTCTCATTGGGCTCCACCGTCAAGCTACCTACCACTGCTTCTCCCTCACAAATCGTCAGCACATCTTCAAGGTAAAGTACAGTTTGTTTCCAGTGGGTGGCCTTCGATCTCGGGCCTGCAGAGAACATTTCATCCGTGCATAATCAAAATTTAATGGAATCAATAATGTCACCGTTAACAACCATGCAGTTTCCAATCTTGTTAGGGATGAGAGCATCACACCCCTTTAAGAAATAGGCGCTGCAGCAGAATCTAACACCTGAACTATTTTTCTTAAACGTGTATGTCGCACTAAGGTGTCACGAACAAAAAGAGCACCTATATGTTAGATGGTCAGTGTCTTGCAACTGCAACGATCTTCAATGTGCTCCTACTTTGCTTGCAACATCCAAACCTAGCTAGCTACAAACTCATCGAGTCAAATCCATCCTTTCTGACATTTCAAGTGTCACAGGTATTATCACAGACCCAATTTCACAAACAGGTGAAATTTACTGACTAATGAAGTCCATACCTAACTATCCGGTTTCAGAAAATATTCTCACATTTGAAAATTACTAACTAAAGTAAAATGTCCCACATTATGAACAGTATTGACTACTTGAACGTAGAGGTCAGAAATCTGAATCATATAATTAAAGATCAGCAACTAACTCAAGGTAAACTTGCTTACATTTTTACGGCATACTTTCATACGAGCATCAATAAGCCAATAAATCAATTATCAAGCATGAACGTAAATGCTGAATTAGTATGTCTCAAAAATAGAATGCAACAAAGAAGATAACCAACCAGTAGAAAAGCCCATCAGCTTGTGGCATTTGGTGAACGAAACATCAAAGTAAGCCACAAGAGCATGTATGTAGTCATTGCGTTCTGCCACTAATTTAAAAGGTGCCATGAAGGAGACATCGCCCGGTGCCATTTTAGAAATATCCATTGTCTAAGACAATCAGCAAAAATGGTTCAGACAACTGATGATCAAAGACATCAACGGAGGAGAGATGCACAGAGATAGAGAGAGATGATAACAAAGATCACCTTGAGTAACTGGCAATTGGTAACAATTTGATTCTGGTCAACTGTATCAACAAGTGGTTCAATCATAGCCTGTTTCTTGATACAGCTCATGTCAAAACCATACACATTGTTCCAGACTGAAACAAGAAAAACAACTCCATAAGAAACAGTAACCAGCATAAAGAACAAAATGAAACAGAGTTTGCTATAAATAAGATCTTGAAGCACGTCTGCAATGATCACTTGACCTTTTCCTTAGAAACTAAAGAATATCTTACACTAAGTGGCTGATGCTGACTGCAAATAAAACATAGAAGGAAAAAGGCTCACATTCGATCTTATCTTCTTTGTATTCAGCATCCTCAATTGCCGTCAAATATAATGAAGCTTTGTCTGGTAAGACGATCCCATTGTTGTTCTACAAGAAGAAAGAATTTTTAAAAAAAAATCATATTTTTGTTGTTCTCGTCTTGGATGGGTCTCAGTCAACCTAATAACCATCACATTTTTTGCCTTTTAGGACTCCAAGTAACCAAACAAAACAAAAGAACATATCAACAAATGTATTATGTCAGAAAAGCTCAAATATATTAATCATCATTATGTAAAAATTTTATCACAAATGACAGAACAACATAGCAGTCAACCAAATTTGACTTCTTAATATAAGCCCATTCGTCCAGATAGAACCTCAATTTATATATAAACTTCCTCAGGACTAGAATATTTGCCTCTCAGTTGCAGGCTCATAAATTCTATCGGGATTGGCATAATGGCAACAGATAGTGTGGACTATGAGTACCTACCAAATCCTGCAACTAATTTAAATCATGTTGCAGCTTATTCTCTCACACAAGTGAAGCATTCTCCTAGTAATTGCAAGTCTCTGAACAATTCACCATAGTCAATTTTCCAAGCAACAACATATCTGGTTGTTGCACTTGGGTGACACTCCTTTTTGTTGGAACACTGAATCCCAAAGAATGGAGATACTGGTTCTTACAGTTCATGAGGTGCATAGATTGTTCTTATATATCCTGTACTTAATTGCAGCAAGTAGAAGACAGAACAAAAAAAGACAACAGCGCATGTCGCTTTCTGCTTCTCAAACCAATAATCTATTGATCTTCTCATATGCCATTTTTTTAGTAAAATTAATAAGGTTTCATATAATTGATGGAAAAATGGAACTTATGATTGGCAATGTTTTGCTTGCATGGTCAGGGTCATTTCTTCTTGTCCTTGACCATTTAAAAGAAAAGTTTTTTATACTATCATCAAGGTTTTCTTGTGATTAGATACTGATTATGCATAGACCTTAAACTTTTCTCAGATTGTAGCCCTAAAATTGACAGAACTTATGATTGGCAATGTTTTGCTTGCCTGATCAGGGTCATTTCTTCTTGCCCTTGGCCACTTTAAAAAAAAAAAATTATACTATCACCAAGGTTTTCTTGTATTTAGACACTGATTATGCTTTTGACAAGCTTAGACCTTGACTTTTCTCAGACTGCAGCCCTAAAATAGTTATCCCGATGTTCCTTTGACTGATATTCAATCCATGGTAGGTCAAGCGCAACAAACGAAGATAATGGCAAACCTAACCATGTAGCACAAAGATATGTACAGTACCAATAGGTACTTACATGGCATAGAAAGAGAATACAAGCGAGATATATGAAACAAAGAAATAATTAGAGAATCACTTACAAGCCACTTATCACGTGCATAAAGAACTGTGTTTAGCATGTTCTCAAAAAGTAGGAAATAACCCATCCACTCAGAGATTATCACGTCCACATGGGCCACTGGAAGTTCAATCTCTTCTACCTTCCCCTTTAGCACTGTTATCACTGAATTGAACATAGAACAAACATAAGACATAAGTTAGTAGCAGAATCATCCAACATAAAAGAAGATATAATCACCATTAGAATATCCATTTGTCTGAACAATTTCTTTTGCCATGTCAGCCATAAGGGAGCACTCCACCTGCAAAGGAGATTTAACTTCACCAATTGAATCACAGAAAAAAAAAATGCACAAAACTAGTAATGATAGTCACATATCTTACCAAACCAGGCATACTATCCTACCTTGATAAAATATGTCGGTAGAGACTGCCTAACCTTACTAATAAAAGAAAAGTTGTAGAAGTGGTAAGAAAGGGAGGAGATTAAGGTTTCACAGAAAGACTACAATTAGGGTTCCTATATGTATTAAGCTACATTGCTGAAGAATTTAATGTGTCAGAAAAGCATTTTTCGATGAGTCAGAAGTCATAAATTTCCAACCATTTCTATGGCTATTCTACTTACCACAGAAAGGCTTCAATCTCATAAACTTGCAGGAGTGCAATTTCCAACCAGTAAGATTTAAAGAAAATAAGGTCATTTAGATTATTACTTACAGCATATACATGCTTTGCCCCTGCTTTTGCACAAAAAAGAGACAAAATTCCTGTTCCTGCACCCACGTCAAGGACGACCTTGTTCTTGAAAAGAAAGCTATTCTGATAAATAACATTTTGATAGGTCTTCGTCCTAACAACATCTTTCAACATTTCCTGCAGGATACATATAATAAAAGGAAATTACTGCATAGACAGATTTCACACTTAAAGCCACTCCAAAATCCACTGACACTAATAGGATACAAATAAGTGGCATTAACGGAAGATAAACCAAAGTTTAGTGACGTCATAAATCACACATCGATGCTGAAGTCAATTCAAAGTAGTTCCTACAAACCAGCTAGGGAAATGTCTAAAAATATCTTAAACCCTATCATCTGAACAAATAGCAATGATTATCTTAACAAATTTAGTGTATGCTTATATGGTTCCGCCTAAGCTTCTTATATTGCATATACAACGACTGTACATAATTGATGCTAAGACTTCAAAGGATCAGAAAAAGCAACAACAGAACTCACATGCACATAATAAACAAAATGAACTCACACCAGACCTAATGTAGGCCACACCTAGCTTATACAACATGATCCTTCCAACAAAATGAATAAGATTCCAGCACATACAACCACACACAAACTAAGAGAAAACTGAAAAAGAT